GGGGAGCGGTGTGTGATGCAAGTAGGGACTCCATTTAATAATTACTTTAGGAGTTAGCCTACATATACATATAAATATCTAAAATTTCCTGAGTAACTATTTTACTTAATTTCATCAGAAGCATCTAAGTTCTCCAATTTGAATGGAAACTGTTGAGTATTCCATGCATAATTTCCCAGTTAATTCCTTCAGAATTTGCAATGCTAGGGATTCTGCAGGGTCCCAAGCACAATTCCTATCTACACTGGAAATGACGACTGTCTGGCCAGTGGAAAATTCGGACAATATTGAAATAACCCCACAGAAGCTGGTATCGCATCACCAAATCACTCTTTATTTACACATGAATAGTGCTTAACACTAGCCCAGCTTCCTCAGAGCCAGCTCTCAAAGTGAACAGAACCTCCGACACTCTTGTTTATATGTCAGCTGGGGCTCCCTAATTGAACCAAGTTAACAGTACTTCAGATAACTCATTCTACAATGTCCACCTGGCTGACTTCATTAAAATCATTACACATTTTAAAATAGCGGACTGTTTAAAATAGTGCAATTGTTAGGATTTATGTTTTGTCTCTGATCTAGTAAAAGCTTTTTCTTTTAAAGCTTGAACCTTTTCATTTCATTCTTTTCATAAATGCCTGGATTTTTGCATTTTAAAACACAGTACCAACTTCTACAGAAATTGTAACATGATCCAGTATTCTTCAATCTCCACCCGCTTCTCTCTTCGAAGAGAGAGTGAGCTCCCATCAGCATCCTGGCTGGTGCCCAACAGAGATAATGATACTTTACCTCCACTGTTCACATCTGCTGCTGCTTTCCTCTGTCTTTCTGGGACTGCAACTCTGTGTCAAAGTCTCCGGCAACAGTTCAGCTGTCTTTTTCATTTACAAAAGAAACTGGTATCTTGCTTTCAATAGGGTTTTATCTGGGCCTCCGTTTCAGTGCGAACTATCACATGGACTTATTACTGGGCAGAACTAGTAGGAACCCACATGCCCTCTTCACTCCTCCACTTTGCTGTTAATTAAGAGTTTAAACATAATCATCTTATAAAGCCTCACTTTCATAACATTAAAACCAACTATTTTGTGTTCTCATCAGGTGATGACAAGAGCTCAAACTTTAATTATTAAACAATGTTTATTTTTCAACAATTTTATTGTTGAATTTCAATATAACCTTAGCGACTTACAAGTATTGTCTCAGTTAATTAAAAACCTCATGTCCAGCCATTGCTAAGAACCTCAGCTCTCAATGTTCCAGTCTAATATTTAGTGTACCAGTTACCATAGAGTTGATAATGTTTGTTTTAATGGCTAAACGCTTTGACTGATGGAACAAGACAGTGGAATGTTCTAAAGATTTCCTGCAGAGTCCTGACGTACATGTGCAAAAAATGGGCTCAGATTTGGACTGTATCCAT